AGGGGGCAGTCTGAGTTCAGGGTCCCACCCAGTCGGCCTGCAGACTCACCCGGAGCGAAGGCTGACGTGGCCCAGGAGCGTGCTGCAGCGCTTGAGGACAAGGACGGGCGTCCCCCGTGGGCTCATGCCCAGCGCCACCCGCGAGGACACGTTCACCTCCGCTGCCAGCTGCAGGAGGCCCCCCAGGGGGCTGCAAGACCCGACACTGGGATGCGACCAGGCCGCCAGGCCCACCCGCCAGGCCGCGCCCCGCTGACACCCGCCCAGGCCGTGGGCCCTGAGAGGGGCGGTGGGGCCGCCCTGCGAGTGGTCTGGGCCCCGGGCCCTCTTCTCAGCCTCAGCCTCCCTGCCCCGCACCCTCTTCCCCCACCAGCTTGTGAGCCCTGGGCAGGGGTCTGCGGGGAGAGTGACATGGACTTCCCTGGGCGTCAGTGAGTGGAGGTCCCCAGGGAAGGGACGGGCTCGGACCCAAGGGAGAAACAGGGGGATGAGGAGTCCCTTGAGGAAGAGGTAGGGTGGAAGGACATGGGGGGGCAACAGAGTAGGGTCCCCAGTGGAGCACACTCACCCGGAGCCATGCAGGCCCACCTTGGTGTGCAGGCTCAGCTGCACCCCAAATCCTGGCAGCAGCTTCAGTGACACCTTGGGCAGTGTGAGCTCCTCAATCTTCAGCCTGGGTGGGGGGTCAGGAGAGGGCTGCTTGCCCCCAAATGCCCCAGGTGCCTGCACCATTCCCCACCAGGCAGGTCGGAGCAGCTCCAGGTTGTGACACCCTTCCTACCCAAACCCCTAGGACCAACTGTGGGCCCGTGGGCCTGTCACTTCACCTCTTGGGGCCTCAGTTTCCTCCTCTGTCAAGTGGGGTGATATCTGCTGCTAGGAATGTCGCAAAGACAAGTGAGATGATGCAAGTGCAGAATCGCATACAGCAGGTGCTCAGTAAATGTCACATGATCGTCATGATTGGAGGCTGCACAAATTAAAGTCTCTTCCCCACCCCATCCCCTTGATGGCAGCCCTGGTTTGGTTTCTGACCTCGGCATGTCTCCCCCTGCCCCCACACCCCTCCCGCTCAGCCCCCAGACACACGCAGTTGCAACCCAAGTGGGCTGTCAAACACAGCTCCTCACAGCTCATTACTCACTCTGTCCTCTGGGACTTCGCCCAGACTGTTCCCTCTGTCTTGAACACTGTTCTTTGACCCTCCTCCCACCTGCACCCCCTTCGCATTGCCGCTCTGTGCCTCGTGGCATCAAAAGGGCGGGCAGGAAGGAGAGCTCGCAGTCACCAGGGGCAGGAAGAAGCCAGGGGAGGTGACCCCTGCCCCTCCCGGGGACGTGCGCAGGGCCCACTGTGTAGACGGTGAGGAGGATACGGAGGGGACAGCCCTGGAGAGCCAGGCCAGGCGGGCCTCCCTGAGCTGCTTCCTTACTTCCTGCTCATGCCTGCTCTGCTCCTCCCAGCTCAGGTCTCCTTCTCCAGGAAGCCTCCCTTCCTGATTTTCTGCCTTGGCTGGGTGACTCCCCACCCCGCCCCAGGGCTGCCTCTATCCCTGCCCCAACTCTCTGGTTCTCGCCACCGTTGGGCTCCACCCCACACTGGGGACTCCTGGAGGCAAGGACAATGTCAAGTTCGTGTGTGACTCCTGCTTCTCCCAGAAGGGGATTCCACAGTGGGAGGGAGATTGAGTATTATGATAACAATAGCATTTACCCAGCACTGCTGTGGGCCAGGCTCTGGTTTAGCTGCTTGACACAGATCAACTCAGATCTGGCAACAACCCTGAGAGCAGCTGCAAATACTGCAGCCAGTTCACACCCCAGCTCTGCCGTGATCCGACTACAGTGGGCAGTTCACGTAGCTGCTCTGTGTCTCACTGTCCCCATCTTTAGAATAGGGACATCGATAATGCCGGCCACAGCAGGGCACACAGTGAGCCTCAAACAGTGCCAGCACTTGCCTCCCCCTTTCCGCACGCTGGGCACTGTGTTGGGAGTGCCACCCGCTCCCTTTCTGCTTCCAGACCCCCTTTCCTCCCATCCAGTGACCCTTCCCCATACCCTGGGCTCCTGGGCCTTCCCTGTCACGTGGCCATCCGCCGGGTCACCTCTAGCCACCTTCAGGTTCCCAGCCACCTTGGCCAGGCCTTCTGGTCTGTGACAATACTCACAGACACGCGCCCTCTCCTGCCCCGCGGGGGGAGTCCGGGGAGTGGCTTTGCCCTGGACCTCCATCTCCTCCCCGCTGAGTGGCAGCCGTGTTAGTCCCACCTCTGGGTCAGTGAGGTCATTCACTCACAATGCTTGGCACTGTGCCAGATGCATGGGAAGCCCGGACAGGGGTCATCACGTTATACGTACCGGCCCCTCCGTGATTTCCTTCATTCAGAAACACTTTCCGAGCACCCATTACGTATCAAGCCCTGCTTAGGGTAGCAGGGATATGGCAGTAAACAAGCCAGATGGAGACCCTATCCCTCCTTATCGGCAGGGAGGTGAAGGGTGTGGTGTGCAGTGGAGCGGTATGTCCCAAAAGAACTTGATGGGGAGGGGGTGAGAAAGGGCAGTGGGGCAGAGCCCCTCCAAGCGGTCCCCCAAAGGAGGCCAGAAAGGGAGCCCTGCGGATGCCTGTGTCAGCCCAGAGAGGCGCAGCAGCGGCCCAGGTCACACTGGAACTGAGCCCTGCACCAGATCCCTCAACCGCCACGGTATGCTGCCATTCCTGTCCCACCAGGCCCAAGGAAGAGTCTTTATTTTCAGACCTGGCTCCCCACACTCCCTGTACCCCCCTTCCTGCCGGCTGGCAAACTGGCGCCACTCTGTCTCTTCTCCGCTCCCCAGTAAGGGCAAGACAAGCCTTCCTGCAGGGCTTGTGGCAGGTGGGTAGTCCAACGTCCCCCAGAAGGACTCACCCAGAGAGCTCCTCCACAACACCAAAAACACCGCCATAGCTCAGCAGGCCTCCTCCTCCGAGCAGCCCTCCTGAGCCCAGGAGGCCCTGGTTCATGGCAGTGACTGTTCCCAGCACGTCCTGCAGAATGGGTCCCCCAACCAGTGAGTTCTGGATGGCTGCGGAGAGGGTGGAGGCCCGGGGGTGTTGGAAACCTTGACCGAACCCCAGGGCCACGGTGCTGCCTCGCTCCCCAGGACTGAGAAGACCTCTTTGTTTAATGGACTTGACAGCCTCCCTCCCTCCCTGCCTGGCCCATGGAGGTGCTCAGTGTTTGGGGGATGAACGAGTGAATGGTATGACAATCCCTTCACTTTGTACATGGGGAAACTAAGGCCCAGAGACATGCCCAACGTCACACAGCAAAGTGGACTTGGGGTCAATAGTACAACGTGGTCTCCTGACCTGGCCTGACTCACAGCACCAAAAGGGAGGACAGAAGAGAGAGCTCGCAGTCACCAGCGGCACGAAGAAGCCGGGGAAGGTGACCCCTGCTCCTCCTGGGGGCATAGGGCCCACTATGCAGACCGTGAGAAGGACATGGGAGGGACTGTCCTGGGCGTCTGGCTAGGTGCTTCCTTACTTCCTGCTCTCGCCTTCTCCGCTCTGTCCTGGGACTGTCTCCGTAGGCCCCAAGGCCAGGTGGAGTTCCCCACCCCAGAAACGCAGGGCAGAGATACCAGCCCAGCCAGCACCCTCCCCTCAACCTCCTCAGCCCCACCCCGCCCCGTCCCTGAGCCCCAGCAGCCCACACCGCCTCAGCACGCGTGGCCAGGCCCAGCTCCTGGAAGAGCGGCTCAGCCCCCCATTCCAGCCTGCGAGCAGGCCTTCGCCTCCAGGGCACACTCAGCTCCCTTGGCTTCCCCAGAGAACATGCTCTCCAAACAGCTGGGAGTCGCACCTGTTCTCGTCTGCTCCTAAAGCAGACCCTCTGAGGATGGGGTCGTGGGCACCGCAGCCGGCCCCTCGCAGACTGCCCGCCTTGGCTCACCTTTGCCGAGTTCATCCTTGTCGATCCGCGCGAGCGTGCACTGTCTCCAGCAGCCCCTGGCACGGAGCCCCCAGGCCCCAGAGCAGAAGCAAAGACCACACGCCCAGCATTGCTGGCTGCATACCTGGAAGGGGCAGAGGCACGAGCCATGCTCAAGCCTCTCTCCTCCCTGCACCTGTCACCACCCTGGGCCCCCCACCCACCTGGGTTCACTCCCAGGACAGCTCTCTCCTCCCGGACACACAGGCCACCTGATGCAGCTTTCCGTGTGCTCAAGGCTCAAAGGCACCGTCCAAGCCTCTCTCTCATCAGAGATCATTTCACAGATGGGGAAACCGAGACCAAGATGAGAGGGGACTTGATCAAGGCCACAGAGCTAAGCAGTAACAGGGCCAGAATTTGAGCCTGAGCTCATCTGACCTAAATGTCTTAGTTCTCTGAGGCCCAATGAGCCTGGTTGGGTCTCTGAAGGGAGACTGACAGACAGAGAGTCTCCCCTTCCAGGACAGCCAGGCAGACTCTGTTTCCTGGGCCTGTTTTCCCACTTGCTCAGAAGGCCGTTCAGAAAGTGTGACTGGTTGGGTATGTCCAGCAATTAGACCTGACATGTTGTATCTCTCTCCTTCCCCCAACTCCATCCCAAATGTTGTTAGGAAGGGGGGGAGCAGGCCGACAGGTGGGGGCACAGCTAACTGGCTGCGTTTGTGGTGTGAGATTTCTCCTATGGAGTTCCCTGCCTGCCCACCCAGTCACATGTCCATTCATGCCTGCCCTGACCCCTTCCCACCTCAGGGCCTTGGCACATGCGGCTCCTTCTCTTGGAAAGGCTTCTACCCTCATTCTTTGCATGGCTGACTTCTTATCGCTTGGGCCCGAGTAACTGTGGCCTCCCTGGAGCGGCCTCCTCTCTCACCTTGTCCAAGGAAGCCTGCCTATCACTAAACGTCATCCAGAATATTTATGTCAGGTGCTATGACAATTTGCAATTAGCGTCTGTGTCTGTGTCCTTGTTTGTGGTCTCTAAGCTCTGTGAGGGCAGGGACTGCGTCTGGGACCTTGAAGCATGGCTGTGTGCCGGGTGGGCACCTGCCAAGGGGGTGGGGGACATCGGCAGCAAGCACTGGCCCACCATTTGCTGGTACAGGCTGTGTCTGTCCGGGAGGGCACTGGACAGGCATTCTACGGTGCGGGGCAGCCCTGGCTGTGTCTGCCTTGTTTCTCCAAGATTCACCCCAGATTGGTTCCGGGCAGCCTCCTGGGCCTCTCACAGACGGAGACACCCTCACGACGGGAGCCAGCTGGAGCTCATGGGTACCTCGTGAACCCTGTCCCTGGGATGGTTCTACCCCCAGCCCACCTGCCTCTGCTGTGAACTTCACAACAAGCCTCTGTGGATCCCAGCTCTGTGCAATGGGCTTTTCTCCCGCCACCCACCAGGTGCCCCACGGCACCCTTCAAGGACGAGTTCATTCTGTGCCCTTTTACAGATGGGGCCACAGAAGGTCGCAGGGTCACTGACTGCCTTACCTGCTGCCCCTGCGGCTACACGGGGAGTGGGTGGGGGCTCCCGGCCTCCCGTCGGTTCCTACACCCTCCCAAGTCCAGGGGCAGCCCTTTTATGCCCACAGCGGCTCTGGGGACACAAAGGGGCCGCAGCCGCCAGAAACCCGTCAGGATGTCATGTCAGAAGAAATTGTGGTTTTCCCCGAGGGCCTGGGCTAAGCCTTCCTTCGGGGGGAGTGTGAGGGGACTGGGGCTGGGGGACTGGGGCTGGTGCCCGGGGCGGAATGAAGGCCCGGGCCTCCCCCAGAGCTGGGGCTGGGGTGGAG